GCCCTGATGGTCCTGAGACAGAGCCTGTGAATCTTCTGTTTCCCAGGAGGAGGCTTCCACCACTGCTCCAGCGACAGAGGAGGTGGATTTTGTGCCTATGCTGACATCACTTTGGCCATCAAGGTAAAACTGAATCAGACACTTTTTTTTAGATTCCCCATTATTTAACACATTGACTTGACACTCATTGTTAAAACTGCCATTATTAAAAATCAAGGCATGAACCCAAACGCACAGTTTTCACTAGAATAGCCATAAAGTACAAACAGGAATCGCATGAAGCTCATTGTTCTTTATGGATGAGTTAAAAGATTAATGTGGGCGTTGTGAACATTGTTCTGCTTGAGTTTTTAATCTAAATCCATGTGAGATGTAAACGTTTTTCTCATGCTGGGGATGTGTGTTCAGAAAGCAAATATTTTCTGATTTGTCTCTCAGTTTCTGTTTGAGAGAGTCGAAGGCATCTCCAGGGTGACCATCATCGATCTGGATGCTCATCAGGTGAGCCGATACATCACTTCTCTCCATGTCAATTCACACCACTGCTTAGCAGCCATCATTGATGACAAAATAGCCCCACTTTTACCGCCAGAGGCTCCCTGCAGGCAAATCTGGCCCTTAGCATCAGATTCAGCAGAATGTATCTTAAAACGTCTCCGCTGATAAACAGCCGAATGCATACAGGCCTGCGCAAACAGTAGGATGTCTTCAGCAATGTTAGGTGCCTTGTTTGTTTGGGCTTTTTTCATATTGTGAAAAATGTGTCCTAACCATGATAAAGAATCACTTTTGATATTTTTAAATTAAAACAATTCTTACAACTACAGCTTAAAAATGTTTAAGGCCAATATTGATTAATTTCATTCTGATGTTTTTTCAATAATGTTGGAAAAAACAGAATGAATGCTGTTCTTGGTCATTTCACCTTTGTTGTGGAGATTTGAGGAAAATAAGTGAAAAAAACAGCATCCAGACGTCATATTTCTGTATTCCTGCATGTTTCCAAAAACTGTTTGATATACTTTGTGAGAATTTTGATTAAATGCAGGGATCTCCATCCATCATGGGATACTTCCCCACTGACCTAATCCCCGTCTCACTCACTTGTTTGCTCATGTGTCCCTCTGGGGCGCGGCGGGGGCCTCTTGCTATGTTAAGAGGTGGAGGGGTGTATTTGTTTATGAATGCAAGTAGCTGTAATTTGGCATCTTAATCAAAAATAATAATGTTCTTTATTATTTTTCTTTGTTTTTGTAAAACAGTACATTTGTAAAAAAAAAAATCATAAGTAACAACAATAGTTTTATTTTAGAAATTAAAAATAAATTATGACTAAAGAGGTTGTACATACTGGTGGATTAACAATTAATCTGGTAATTACCAGTACTGTTAGTTTAAAGCAGCTTTGATATAAAACTTGCATTAGGTGGTGGTGTAATACATTTAACACTGTATAATAATGCTGTGCATCATTTGTGGGCTGAACTCACTTAAGCTGTAGAAAACAATGACTCAACCTTTTTAAGACCCTGATTAACATATATTTGCCTTCAGATGTATTTTCAGCATAATGACTTGTATCCACCACCAATTAGGCTTAAGAATTATGCAAACACTGATGATGTCTTAACAACCCGGGTTCAAGGCTGTTTTGTATTAATAGCCTGGCATTCATTTTTGAGACCAGTTTGCACGTAATAACCTATATCTATTGACAAATGGTAGGGATCAATATAGATGCTGAGTGAATTATTCATTAAGACCAAAGAATAAACCTACACTGCCCTCTTAGCAGATAATTGGGCTGAGAGAAAAGCAGTAACTTGTGGCTCAGGTGGTTGAGCAGGTCGGTGGATTGATCCCCGGTTTCTCCTGTCCATGTGTCGGAGTTGCCCCCAGTGCAACCATCCAGAGTGTTAGCATGTGTGTGAATATTGGATAGAAGTGCTGAGGTACAGAGAAAAGCATTGTACAGATGTGTGTGTGACTGTGAATGTGACTTGTAGTTGAAAGCACTCTGTGCGCTCAAATTGAGTAGAAAGGCACTATATAAGTATCGGTCCATTTACTATGACAACGTTTTCTTGTGAGCAGTGTAATAGATTCTACAACGCTGTGATGCTTTTTCACAGCAAAGCAGTAATGATTTTTAGGTTGAGTTTATAAGACGCTTGCTTGGAGTCCAGCTCTGAGAGCATATTCTTAAGCATCACCTGTGTGTGATGCGAAACCCAAAATATGGATTTTATGATCTCAGATACAGATATCTGTTGATCATTATATAGTCTAT